ATCAAATGGAAACGCACGCAAGCCAATTTCGGGTGACGCAAAAAAACAAATTCGACGGCGTGCGTACCAAAACGCAAGCCGCGAATATTAGGTTAGCCTGTAAGGTTGCAATGTGTCGCAACTCTGCAAGTACAAACAGTTTGAATACCGCAGTATAAAAGTTTCCAAACATTGTATTGATACGTTTTGGAAGTCAGCCGCAGTTGCATGAGCAGTCACACCTTGCGTGTAAAATGTCTTTCGAAAGAGGTTTTTCATTTCCGAAAGACGAATTGCAGATTGCTAGTGCAGCACGAGCAAGTTGAAATATATTTCCGAAATCGATTCCCGCTCTCTTAATTGCAGTCACATCTTGCAACTTTTATTTCTGAAACTGATTTCCGAAATGTGACAGAAAGGTTTTTCTGGCTGTTCACACATCGAAATAAAATTTCTCTTTCTCAATTTGAGAGCTGGAAATATTACCATGTCTGACACGCTCTTATGTTAGGGTCCCAATAGATTTTGCTCCAGATAGTAATTGAATGCGCATGCAATTGTAGATACAAGTATACATTTTCGTATGCACTCATCATTCACACTTATCGACTTACATATGTATGTAACTACTTGCATTGAGAGGTCATTTCAATGTGAATCTCGTAATATTCTGATATTTAATCGCTTTCGGCAAAACACCCACAAAGGCATGCACATGTATGTACAAGTAATTGTGAATGAAATGCATTCGTTTGCGGTTTCAATTGTTGATACTACTTATTGTTGATATCAATTATCATTACTATGTGTAAAAGTGCAACGACACTAAATAAAAGCTAACTGTTTGCATAAGCATCGTAAATTGTCATATTTCACATCGCACATCGTTACATATATAACATAAGTATGTTTGTATACATGTACAATGTATATATTACACGAGGGTCACTAAGAAGATAAGTTAAAAATGCGCTTATTGGGTTTCAAGATATCTCAGTAGAAAAAAGGAGTAAAAAGCAATTACAGAAGACCTTCTCCTGATCTGGTGTTACCAGACATATCTTCTTTGTGGCAATTTTTTGTATGTCGCCTTTAGATTTTGGTTCTGAAAAATTGTTATTGTTCAACTTAATTACTAATTCCTAATAAATATTTGTTCTTTCTTTTCCTTGATTTGTTTATTTTCATCAGCCTTTGCGCTTAAATCAAATGCTAATACGGTAAACGTCTCCTTTGAGTGTGACAAAATGTAGACGGCGTCATTTCCCAATTTTGTATGGGAAACAACAGCACCACAAATTTTACGTTTATGTAGACGTCTACATTTTGAGACACAATTTGGAATGAACTGTGAACACCCCACATATTTTTTATATGGAACGGGCCCATTTGCAATACATTGCATTTCCGCTTTAGGGGGAACAGCTCATAGAAGCACTTATTTTTTATGCGTAAATTTTTTCATTTGAATATGATTTTTCTTCACTTTACAGATGCTTTTTCGTAATTGAGAAATACCAAAAACAAAAATGAAAAATTTTATTTTGGGTCTAATCTGTAAATGTGTATTCAAATGTTCAGTTTTAATAAAATTTCTTACAATCGTTCAAACTAATTTATTTTAAACTTTAGGAATTGAGGCTTTTTTCGCGGTATATTCAATATACATGCATATATTCAAATTTTCAGATTTGCGTAGCTCATGTCAGTTTATTTGCTTAACCGATTGCCTACTCAATTCTCGAGAAGGAACACTGCAAGCACTCTGTGTGTAACGATGCAAAGATGTGCATTTCACTAGCTTAGGAGCTGTTTGATAACACCTTATGAAGGAAAGTCCTTGACAAAATCGCTTCTGGGATTCAGCAGCATGATTTATGTATATACTTTTGCCTACGCACAAACCAATGGATAAAACATTTTTGCCGCAATGAGTCCAGTACCTCAAAAACATGGATTTCTAACGCGTTAACAGCTTCTTCTGGCGTTAAAAATCGTTGTCCGCGAAGTTTATCAGTACTGTATGGCAGATTAGCCATCAATTCGGTGTTTTGGGTGCTTAAAAAATGCATTTGCTTGACTAGATGAGCTCTCATTTGTTTGATGAAAGCACATGTGTCGTCATTCGTTGTTTTTCCTCCATTCGTCCAGCATTGTTGCCAAATAAATAGATGTTCCTTTAACGCCAGTATAAGTATATGATCCGCCCCGTTAATATGAAGAAACAAGCGACAGCTTTTATTTTCTTATTTTCAACGATCCTTCAAAAAAAGATAAAGGCTATAAATTCATCGGAATATTTACATTGTATATATATATTTTATGTACATACGTACATACATACATGTGTATGTTATCGGTTAAGTTTGGACCACGTGAACAATTTTCGATAATTCTTTATCAAACGTGGTGCTATAATAATTTTATTTTGTTCACATTATTGGATCATGAAGAAACTACCGGTACCGATAAAGATAACTTGTTTTTGTTAAAATGTAATTACATAGATTTGAAGTCTCTACGTAATTTTTTTACGACAAAGTTGACAAATGTATTAAAACATTTTCCTCACATAGCGCTGAAATGTGGTGTGAAGTTTCTCCTTAGAGCTTCTGATAGAAATTTTGAAGAGCAAAAGGTTTACACAATAACAAAACCCGCTTACAAAAAGTAGAACCGAGCATGATAAAAATATAGTAAGGTAGAACCGCTGAGAGTCACTTTTAAAATTCTTGACGTTTCCAAACATTTTAATTTTTAAATTTACTCACAAACTCACACACACATTTTCATTTTCAATCTCAAGCAACAACAATTTCAAACAATTTCAATTTTTTATTTTCACTTTTATATGATTTTAAAATGTTGGCAAACTTCAAAAAAAATCATGGCCGACAAATTGAGAGAACGGTTCTACCTTGCTATGTTTTTATCATGGAACCGAGTATAAAAATTTAAATGGGAGCTGTGAAGAAAACCGATATAAGGAGAATCAAGTGCATTAACTTCCAAGTAAAAACAATAAGAAATTTGTATGGGAATATCCCATCTAAGATGCTTAAAACTTGTATTTTTTATGGGGGCACCATGTTTACCTGTACATACTATATATATGTACATAATGTATGTATGTACGTGGGCATATGTACATTAGTAATTTCCGAAACTTCGCAGCGCGGAATCAAACAATGTGCTAATAAACATTTATTGTTGCTAACATAATTTCTTTCGCTTATCATTTTACGGTAATGAAAATTACGTACTTTGGTTCAATTCAAAAGTGTTTACTTACATACATACATATGTACATGTGCATATGCACATACACGTGTATACATATGTATGCAGTTGCCCATATGCTTATCAATTAACTACATACATATGTACATACATGTGCACATTAGCGAGAAATTAATTTTAATTGTTTTTAAATTATCTTTAAATTGTAAGCTTAAATTCTCATTAAAAACTTTGTATCAATTAAATTTTTTTGTCATTATGCGTAACTGATGTGACCCTCTTCCTCTTCTTATTTGGCGCTGTAACCGCATAAGCAATTTTGGCCGAGTTCAACAAAGCCCTTCAGTCGTTTCTCTTCTGTACCAACTGACGCCAGTTGCAAATGCCAAGTCCTTCTCAGCCTGGTCTTTCTATCGCAGTGGGGGCATCCCTCTTCCTCTGCTACCACCAGTGGGTTCCAAGTTGAATTCTTTCAGAGTTGGAGCGTCGGTGTTGAATCTGCTGCACTATGTCCATGTCGTTGTAAAGCTGATATATGTAGCTCATCGTTAAATCGTCTCCGGTACTCAGCGTCGCCGATGCGTCAAGGCCCGTAAATCTTCTTTCGAATACTCCAAGAGCCGCCTCATCGGATGTTGCCATTGTCCATGCTTCTGCGCCAATTACCAACACGGGCATGATGAGTGACTTATAGAGTGACGTTTTCGTACGTCGAGAGAGGACTTAACTCCTGAATTGCCTACTCAGCTCAAAGAAGTTTTTATTCGCCAGAGTGATTCTGCGTTGAATTTCGATGCTGACATTATTATCGGTGCTAATGCTGGTTGCCAAGTAACGAGTGACGAGGATGATAAGGTGCGAATGCGCTGACTGTTTGTTTTATGACAGGAGATACTTCGTCTTATCCTCGTTTACCACCAGGCCCCTTTGCTTTACCTCCTTCCTTCCTTCCTTATCGAACTTGGAAAAGGCATAATAGACATCGCGGTTTTGGTATTGCTCAACGTCCATTTACATAGCCGTATAAACTTCGCTGGGATGCCAAATTTAGACATCGCGGCCTAAAGGCTAGGCATCTCCTTTTAATGCAGTCGAAAGCGGCTTGGAAGTCGACAAATAGATAGTAAGTGTCGATCCTTTTCTCGCGAGTCTTTTCTACGATTTAGCACATTGTGAATACGTCGTACTTGATTAGCTCAGCTGGCAGGCCGTCAGCTTCAGCAGTTTTGTTGTTTTTCAGCCGCGTAATTCGAACATCGACTCCGTCATCATCGACTGGGGGCTCGTGTTCGTCTTGTCCACAATTTTCCTTGCTGCTACCATTCAGTAGGATGCAAAAGTGTTCCCTCCATAGTTGAAGTACGTCGGTCACTAGTCTTGAAAACTTCCGTAAGTCGCCTAACTCTCTGGTAAAGTTTTTGGGTGTTTTCCCTGTCGGCCAGCATTTCAAGCTCTTGTCACTCCCGTATTTCGGCCTCTATCTTCTTATAGCGGCAAATACGTGTCGCATCCCTCTACACTCTTCCTATAGCCGTCCCACATAGCTGCCGTTGGGCCGTTATTTTTTTTTTTTGGTTCGAAGTGGATTAAGAATTCTGACCTTCAATTGACTATTATGTATGATCCTGCTTGTCCAAATTTTGGATATACATACATACTCGGTTTTATTATTGCAATTTTTATTTATGTACATACACTCATACATATGTACATATCTTAATTTTTATGCGCATCTAAAATTACATACACACAGATTTAAATGGCATATTTTATAATTTCAGGGTGTGAAAAAACCTTTCGATCAAGTCATTCGTGCTAATATCGGTGATTGCCATGCTATGGGACAAAAGCCTATCACCTTTCTGAGACAGGTAAAATTAAATTAATTAAATTGAAAAAATAGATTTGAATAGTGAAACAAAATAAAATAGAACAAAAAATAAATTAGATTAAATAAAATTATTATATATTAAATTAAACTAAATGAGGTTATATTAATTTGAGTTTAATTAATTAAATTCAAATTAATTAAATTAAATTAAACTTTAGAATTGACAAAATAATCAACTTCGCTCTAATATAAATATGTAAAAGTATCGTAGTCGATGCCAAACGGTAATTTACATTCCCGTGGCTTATAGGTCGATCGATAATGTTTATATTCTTTTCAGCTTATGGCCCTAACCTTGGATACAAGTCTTTTCGATTCACCTAACTACCCAGAGGATGTGAAGAAGCGTGCGCGCATCATTTTAGACGGCTGTCAAGGGAAATCAGTTGGCTCCTACACTGACTCGGCTGGCATTGAAGTGATTCGTAAGCAAGTGGCTGATTTCATTGAGAAGCGGGATGGCATACCAAGCAATTGGGAGAATATTTATTTAACAGGTGGTGCCTCCCCAGGCATCAAAAGCATATTGGCGCTCGTTCGGTGGGTATTTCAATGTAACAGTTTTACCTAACAAGCATTGTATGATCAATTTAATATCCTTCAAAATACAATACTACAGCTGTAAAATTGGCGGCAAGCGTCCTGGTGTAATGGTTCCCATACCTCAATATCCACTGTATTCGGCTACAATTTCGGAGTATGCCATGACTCGTATCGGCTACTACCTGAATGAAGAACAAAACTGGAGCATGGAAGTTCCAGAACTCGAGCGAGCCTACCAAGAAGCACGTAAAACCTGTGAACCACGCGCCCTAGTTGTCATCAATCCGGGCAATCCCACCGGTCAGGTGCTAACGCGTGAAAATATCGTAGATGTAATTAAATTCGCACATAAATACAAGCTAATCGTATTGGCTGACGAAGTGTATCAGGCTAACATTTGGGCTCCCAATTCGAAATTCTACTCCTTCAAGAGTGTAGCACATGAAATGGGTTCACCCTACAGAGAAATGGAATTGTGTAGCTTTATGTCTGCCTCAAAGGGCTACCTAGGCGAATGTGGTATACGTGGTGGCTACATGGAGATAGTGAACATGTGCCCAAAGGTGCAAGCCACGCTAACAAAGTCTATAACCGCTTCGCTATGTCCAACTTCTGCTGGTCAGGTGGCTATTAGCGCATTGGTAAGTGAATGATGTGGCATTGAGTTGCTGTTGTAGTTGCTTGCTTCAAAATGAACAATTGTTTGTAAAAACACATCATTTAAATTTTTAGGTTTATCCACCAGAAAAGGGTGAGCCTTCATACGAGCAGTATATAGCCGAGAAAGCAGAGGTTTTGAATGCCCTTAAAGAGCGCGCTGAATTAGTATACAAAACGTTCAACAGCTTTGAGGGATTCAAGGTGAATGTGGTACAAGGGGCCATGTACGCTTTCCCACAAATCGTTATACCAGCTAAGGCTATCGCGGCAGCAAAGGCAAAGAATATGGCGCCCGATGTGTTCTATGCCTTTGAATTGTTGGAATCAACCGGTTAGTATGCATGCCCCGCTGATCGGTATTTTGCATTTTATAGCTCATGAGGTTTTAAATTGAACAACATTTTTTATTCTAACGCATTTTTTAGGCATTTGCATTGTACCTGGCAGCGGTTTCGGCCAAAAAGACGGCACCTATCACTTTCGCACCACAATTCTGCCTCAGACCGACAAACTGAAAATCATGTTGGACAAATTTCAAACTTTCCACGCTGATTTCATGAAGAAATATAAGTAAATTGTATTAGAAGATTCATGGAAATCTGGTGCTATGCAAAATATGTATGCCATCTACCATCCATCCATTAAATGGCGTGGCGCCACAGTATACTACTAACGCACCGCGGTTTGAAACTTGAATTACAGATCATAATTCTCCAGAGCCTTCATTTTTTAACCAATTAGAAAATTTGTTTTTTTTTTTTAATGAAAGCCTATAAAATGTACAGTAACCTGTTCAGCCCGATTGTTTTTTTACCTAAAATTTAATGGGCTATAAAACTGCATGCCTAAAACTTTTGCACAAACACAAAAAAAAAATTGTGAAATTTCTTTTATATTTATTTCAAACTTTTCTTGTGCATTTTTTTACGTTTTGGGGGAACCCTTTAATTTTTTATACTACGTAACATTATGTGGTACAGGAGAATCGATTTTTTCAAAATTGCTACTTTTTCGGTACTTTACACTTACAAACTTATAATCTATATATATAATAAAATTGTAACGGCACGATGTCTGTACATTATAGATATTAAAGAAAACTTAATATGGGGGTCTTTATTAGAGCAATAAAAGCCAAATCAGCAATTTTTAGAAGTTTTTTGTCTGTATATATGTTTGTACGCACATCACCTTAAAAATAATGCATGAAATTGGTTTAGAGAGTTGCCACCTGTTTTGAAATTACAGTTTAAGTAAATTGATAAGATAAAGTAAATATTGCAATATGGCTGTCTAAAGAAAGATATTTACGAAGGCTTACAGCCGAAAATATTTCTGAGGAGGGTTGCTACCTCTTCGAAAAATTTGACTTAATTAAATTGATAAAATAAATGAAATATTACAATACCGGTATCAAAAAAAAAAAAATACTTTTAAGGCGCAGTGAAGTGCGTCGGGTATTTGCTAGTAAATAAATAAAAACTCAAAAATCGGGCTCAACACGTTTCTTGTAAATTTTAAAAGCTTTAATTTAAAAATGAAATTTATCAAATTGGTTAAAACTGAAGGCTCTGGAGGATTATGAAGAGTAAACTCCATCAGTTTCATACCACTGTGTAACGCTGTGTTTAGGACGATTTGCGATTCTTTTAATGTGTTAAAATATTTTCAATTTTTATAAATGTACAGTAATTAGTAAGTGCTTAGTGTAAAATAGAGGCAAGAAAAATGTTGCAAAGTTCGAGCATGAAACGAAATAAATAAATAATAAAATATCTATATTTAAATGTAATAATTTCAACTGTTAATTTACATGCATACATATGTACATATGTAATGTAGCTAAAGGATAAGACGAAGAAATTGGATAACAAAAAATTAATTAAATGTATTCTAAATTGCCAAATTTTGATTGATAAAAGATTTATATTATAAAAAATGGAGGACTATAGTTTTATTTTAAATTGGCTAGCTTATTATTGAAAGACTTAGCAGTTTTGTTTTGTTGAGCGAATATACACGAGCGCAGTTCAAAACATTTTGTATTCAAAGTAAGAAAGTATTAAATTAATAAAAAACTTAAATTGAAAAAATTAGCATTATTTTTAAATGCGTTTTATTTTAAGAGGAAGTGTAGAGCTCACAATATATCACTAGGTCGCGATGCATCTGATTCTTCTTTGGCGCTGTGAACACCTAAACGATTTTTGCCAAGTTTTTTCACAACCATCGCAGAGCGGGCCTTCGGGCCGGCCCCAAAAACTAAAGCTGCCTTTTCACTGATCGATTTTTGTCGTTCAACCAAAATCGGCTCGTGTAAATGTCAATTCAACCGTAATAGGTATGTAATTGTTTTGGCTAGTCGATTTTCCAGTCGACCGAAATCGAACCGTGTAAAGGCAGATAAAGAAAGCAGACAACGATTCAAGCGACGCGTATAGTGACGCACAAACCGTCTCCAAATATATGGCTCTATGCTTCATCAGCAATTGCTGAACCACAACTTCAGAGGTCCAACATTCAGTGTCAAGAGTCTAAGGATGTTGACGACGCTATTCTCGTAGTCCCAGTGGACTTGCCAAATGATATGAAGTCCGAGGATGTCGATATGCTAGAGAATGGTGTGGCTACTATAGATTATTCTTCATCATTCTAAGGCCCTTTCGACCGTTTTGCTCCCGCACCTAAATTACGGTTTCTTATACAGTGCACCACAAAAATCTAGGCACAGAAAATTTTGCACGATGTAAGCAAAGTTTTTATTTTTATTTGTTTTCGCAATTTTTTTTTATAAAAATATAGTCGAACATATCGAGCAATAACCGCCAAAACAAACGCAAGCCACATTTTTTATTCAAAAATTTCTTTTTTATGCAGAAATGCATATCGTGGGCTTATATTCAATACCCTCTATGTATCTGCACTTTTCACAAAAAGGAGATTCTGATATAAAAATCCACCTAAAGCTTAACTGTCATCGGCGATATTAATGCTGACCTTGTATGACGCTTGACAGAAGAATTTACTATTAAATTGCAAAGTCAGAATTCGTATCAGTGTTGATAGGAAAGTCCCTGATGGATTCTAACATCACACAGTAGTTTTTGGTGAAAATTGCAGATAGAGGGTATTGAATATAACTAAGCCCCGATATACATGCTCTAGGAGCAATTCTGCAGCGAAAATAAAATTTAGAAAAAATGTCTTTTACGTTTTTTTTTTTGAGGTTAGGGCTCGATACTTTGTATGGAAGAAAATGCCTAACACCGTCAGCAAAAAAAAGCCATCAAAAATCAAACTTGAACTTGAAAAACTTGAACTAAAATTTATTAGGCTACAAAACTCCAAATTTTATTAAATTTTTTTCCAGTGTTGCACAAAATTGATAACTTTATTTTTTTTATTTTTATTTTTTCTTGTGGTATGAACTACACATCACTGAAATGGACCAGTTCGAGACTAATATATACATATATATATTTTTTCATAAAACGGCGTGGGGAGTTGTAATTCGATGAAATCATACCAATAGTTACGTCTTTTTGCATTTCAGGTGATGATATATTAAAAAAAAAAATGCAAAACGAAATTAAACTAAAAAATAATAATTCGAAGAATTCTCTGCGCCTAAAAATTTGTGGTTGACTGTAGATACCAATTTCAAAAGAATAAATTCTGTCATTAGTGAATTATTGTGGTAGTATTCATATTACTGCAAACTATCGTTATATAGGAGGTAGGCGT